TGAGTCCCCTTCCCCCACCACCTTGGTCCTTCCCCTGACCAGCAAAATGATAAAATGACTTTTAAAATGTTAATATGTACTGCATCAATCTGGTCTACGAAGTGAAAAATACGCCACAGAGCCGAAATTCGAATGCCGCGTTAGATTTTGTGGTATAGTGTACTTATTGCTCGGATATAATAAAAACCGTCCATTTTTCGTTTAGGATTCTGACCTGTTTGAAAGGGGTTCTCCTTCCGCGCCACCCCACCCGTCGGTTGTTCCACTATGAGAAATTGCCCATTTCTCAGTGAACAAAACTTTACTACAGGCTGCATTTTCAGCGGGGTTTTATAGAATATTTGTTGTAACACAACATGATGTCCACAGTTTCAGGTGGTGGGTATATTTGACTCTTTTTTTCACGGTAAATAGCCAACGATTCCCTTTAAGAAAACCCGGAACCGGCCGCGTTTTGTCTTTGCCCATGCCGTCTGCTGTCTCCGTTTCCTCCTGTGTTGTCCGAAGGAACGCGACGGCACAGTCGGAAACGAGAACTGGTTGTATCTGGATCAGAAGAAGACGTCCAAGCGCATGACAGCTCATCGTAGTGGTCGAAGCCCTCGCTCAGCATACAACTGTCGACTTTTCTTTCATCTCCACTGCATTCTTGAGAGGTAAATGTAAAATAACCCCATAATTGAACCACCCAGAGGGCCCCGCGGTGCCCAATCAGAACGCTGCCCCGTCTCGTTTCCGAACGCAGGGTCTCAGTGCTGCTGTACGCACGTGCAGTCTGCTAAAGAGCTAAAGTTTCGATCTCATAGACCCGCGCTGAGAGAGTGAATTAGATGTGAATATGGCCCTGGGCTCTGTTGTGGACAATGCAAACGGCGTCCAAGTGAAGCAAGAAGAAAGCAGCTCAAGTGATGATACATCGTCCAGCGCAAACACTGGTCAGTGTGGCGAGTTGCATCGCGGAGCACCGGGTTCATCTGATGTAACCAGGCACAGGGAGGAGGGGTCGAAGTCTGATCGTATGAACCGGAGCAGAAGTCGTGGTTTACCCTTTGTGATAATGTTGTCATCCGCATATTTTTGTTAATTTGTACAATTTAAAGAGGCGAAGCCGTGTCGCACTTGGACCATAAGCGTTCTTTCACTCGGCACCCTCCGTGTTTTTTCTCGTGGAGGTTATTGAAGGGCGAGAAAAGGATTTCTTCGTTGTACCCCTTTTATTAAGCCGTTACGCCTGCTCCAGTCAATTTTACAGTGATCTTCGCAGTCTCTGTCATATTTCTGACTGTATTCAAAGTTGTCTTGGTTAACTTTTCTTCCACGCGAAGTGAGGTGTAAGTGTTTACCATGTGTAGTACTTGCAGGTATTTCTGATCATTAAAACCAAGTCTTTTTCTCTCTGGTGTAATTTGATATTTTGCTTTTATTGCTT